ATTAATTAATTAATTAATTAATTACTAATTGTGTCATCTTGGTCAGTTTTGTTTGTTCCTTTGACTTTGACGCTTTCTTTGGGAAAAGACGGCACGGTTCATGGAGTGAATGGTGGTTGAGTCGAGCCTTGTGCTGAGTCAGCATCGCTCGCAGTGCGGGTTACATAGTACAGTGAACAGCAGCCACTCTAATTTCCTGTACCTGGTTATTTTCCATTTCCTGGACAAAGAAGGCCTCCCCGTTGTCTCCGAGCTTCATATGTAGATCCACCGGCTCTCCATTAATCTCCATGTCCACCTGTAAAATATATATATACACATCTGCATTTTAAAACTCCTTAGTGTGTTTTTCTTTGCATGCCTCTTCATTTGCTGACCACTTTCTCTCGCGAGCGGAGGACTCCCATCTTGCCGAAGCGGACGTGGAAGGGCGAGCAGCGCAAGGAGCCGTCGGGCTGCCGCACCACGATGACGTCGATGCAGCCCGACAGCGTGGCCGGGTTGAGGCCTCGGTACAGCTCCTTGACCTGCACCAACACCTGACCCGCCAACTGGCCCACGTAGTTCATGGTCTGACGGGTCTGGTGGGGACAGGCAGAACACAAGCAAAAAACAGGACACGTTATACTTTTTTTTACCAGTTGGAAACATTTAAAGTGTTTTGCATGATATGTATGTCCCCTTTAAGTATAGACAACTTCTGAAGAAGCGTAATTGGTCGCAGTTGAGGGCGGGCATTCTAAAAATCTCTTCTCAGATACGTTCTGGTTCCAAGGAAATAAGAACGCCTTTGACCTGTTGTGTGTGCCCATCCCTGAAAGTGCGGGAAACTTGTCAAAGCCTTTTCCTGACACCCGAGTTCAAAAAAAAAAGTCATGTGGTTAAAAAGTGATGTCATACAAACTAATACTGTAGCTGCATCGTGAATAATAAGAAGTGGGAGAAGGACGTTGAATAGTGACAAATACAGTTCAGGCATGACTCGACAATATTTTGGGAGTACGATTATAAACTTTTACTCATCTTTGAAAGTGTTTGATTGCCTTCTTTTCCCCCCCCCCCCTCAAAATTGCAAGAGGGATTTTATGGACCGTGGAATGGAAAAGGGCCTCCCCCAAAAGTGGTCCCAAAGACTGAAAGGGATGGATTGTACGTAACCATTTTCCATAGTGCTTGTCGTCATGAGGGTGTACAGTCAAACCTCGGTTTTCGAACGTCTCTGTTCTCGACCAAATCGGTTTTCGACCAAAAATTTCGAGTTTTTTATACCCCGGATTCCGACCGAAAATCGGTTCTCAACCAACCTGAGCGCATTGAATGCGCCACTTGACTCCTCTCGCCTTCCTTACACGAGGAAGTGACGCTTCCTCGTGTAGCGTTCCATTGTGAGCAGACGTGTTCAATAAAGTTTTTTATTTGAAAGAGTGTGGTTTCGGTTTTCAAACAAATCGGTTTTTGAACAGCCTTCTGGAACGGATTATGGTCGAAAACCGAGGTATGACTGTAGTCGCTGTGCCTTTGAGTGTTTATGGCTTCAAAAAGCAGCGACTAGCCTGGTGAGTGACATGGGTGGCAGACAAGTGAATGTAGTCTAAATAGCGATTGTAATTACAGCTTGTCACATTGATGTGTTAGCATCTACAGTACGATGGGGATATGTTACCTTCTTGACGTTCGAAATAAAAACACACAAGCACGGCCACACGCAAGAAGACAAGAAACGCCACAGAGGAATGCTGAGATTTGAACCCAGAATCACAGCACAGGACTGTGAGGCAGATGTGCTAACTAACGCACATCGGATGAAGATGGGTTTCATTTTGTGTGTTGAAAGCTGAGGATGGTGTTGCGCAAGAGCATGACTACGATTCAGTCACTTAATTTGCCTCGGCCAGCTGAGTTGACAACATTTGACTTTGAACACAGCACAATATTTAATGCAAACTGAAAATTGTTCATCTGCGGACTGCAGCTATTTTTAAAGGCTCGATTCATCCTGGCTTGCAGAAGCGACAGCGCTTTGACTTTGAAACTGAAAAAAAAAATATTAACGCCATCGACAACTCCCTTTCCCTCCTCCTCCGCTCTTGAGGGCCAAGTCTTTAATCCAAAGAATATAATATCGATGCACTCCTGTGTGCTTGGTAGAGTGGGAGTTGCCATCCCCCCCACCTCCCTTCAACATTATTCTTCACCGTCTCTCTCAGTGAAACCTTGCAAGACCACGACTGCTGAATAAATGCTTTGTTGTAATATAGGAGTAAATATGGGATAAGTTTATGTACATTTATTCTAGCATAAAACAACTGAAGCCAATTGTGCTCATCATACTGAACAGTTGTGAAAATGAAACAAGCTGATGTCACATGGGAAGTGAAAACAAAAGCGAACCATTTCCTTCATTTTTTTCGTGAATTGGGCGCTGACACTCATATTGAAAATACATACACGTCCGAGCATTTAGTCCTTTCATGTCTTTGATATCCATCTTAACTTTAAGGTCCTTGTTCTAATACACTCTTTGCCCTCACTATATTTTTTTTCCACTATTAGTTTCACTTATGATCTACTAGTATGCAATAATAGGCACACTCGTTACACTACTACCTTATAACTGTCTTACATTCAAGTTTGGATGTCCCTGATATCCAGCACTAGATCGATGTACTAGTACTGTAAACTCTTTGTCCTCACTAGTAGGAAAGAAAGAGTCCCACAAGTAGAAAAATGTTACTACTAGTCGCTAAGGAAAACTGTGCACTACTTGACAGCTGATCTGCCAGTCGTACATTCGTGACGAGGGAAAAAAATGTACTACGGTATTTAACCTCGAGTGCTTCGCAAGTCGTTCTAGTAGCGCGCAGATTGTTGATGGTGTAAACATCCATATTTTTCATAGTTCGACCTGTACACGTACTTGAATTTTAATATGTATGTATGTACAAGTGATCGCGTTAAAGTAAATGGCCCCTCAGATGGATCGCAAATACCCTGCGGCTTTCCAAGAATAAAAGGGACTGCCGCAGTTTAGATCAATACCAGACTAGAATTATATTTTTAGAGCAAAACAAGAATTATACAAGTCCAGTCACTTAACTATAGGGACCGTAAATGACATTTAGGTGGAAATACATAGTGTCTCTTACCTTCTGATTACGTTGACAAAACGAAATAGATTCCTCAGCGGAGCATTATAAAATACTCACTTGCCTTCGATCACTGTTCATGATCTATTTTTAACGCTACAGGCTGTTGTCATCTCACCGTGATTCTAGTAGCGCGCAGATTGTTGATGGTGTAAACATCCATATTTTTCATAGTTCGACCTGTACACGTACTTGAATTGTAATATGTATGTATGTACAAGTGATAGCGTTAAAGTAAATGGCCCCTCAGATGGATCGCAAATACCCTGCGGCTTTCCAAGAATAAAAGGGACTGCTGCAGTTTAGATCAATACCAGACTAGAATTATATTTTTAGAGCAAAACAAGAATTATACAAGTCCAGTAACTTAACTACAGGGACCGTAAATGACATTTAGGTGGAAATACATAGTGTCTCTTACCTTCTGATTACGTTGACAAAACGAAATAGATTCCTCAGCGGTGCATTATAAAGTAGTCACTTGCCTTCGATCACTGTTCATGATCTATTTTAACGCTACAGGCTGTTGTCATCTCACCGTGATGAAACGTGACCTACATTGATCATGATATGAAGTAGAAATGCAGCAGTGTGTCTTTCGGACAGCTGACGCATCACTTGGCAAACTGGCTGTTTGCTTGCCACTGTCTTTGCTCGTACGCTCCAGACGAGGCTCCGCCCATCGGCCAATCAGCGTGGAGCTTCCGCGTTGCTAAAATCACCGCTGACAGGGCAACAGCGGTGACATATAATTTCCTGAAGTTTATTTTTAAAGCGATAAAACTAGCTAGATACGAAGAAAGACCGCTGGTAGGTAGATAGACAGATGCAAGGGATGTTCATTTGATAAAACTATGAGCAAAATGAACCAAAGTTACATTGAAAAATTAAACTGAACTGGGGATTGGAAAGACAGACACTTTTGCATTGGCACAAGTAATTTAGTTCAAGGATATAAAATAATGAGCGGCAACATGGGTAATTATATATAATAAATCATTTGTACAAATGCGATATTTGAGCCAAATGTAAAAATATTTATATCGCCCCCACCACCTGAGCCTCTTTTGACTGTGGCGGCAAACCAGCTGACATCACCGTGCCGGCCTGATGTTATGAGGTGATCCTCTTAGCCAATCACAGCACACCTCGACGCCACAGTTCTTACTTGTGGTTTTTATCGTCAAATTTAGGCTCCACACCATACCCCCAGGCCCCTTCCTCCTCACTTTCCTCAGCTCCTCCTTCTGTGAGCATAAACATGCCATTTAAATATTTGCATTCCTTTTTTTTTTCATTGGCGGCAAGTAATGAACTGTTGAGGCACCTGTACTGAAGTGCAATTTTCTGTTGACTTTTAACGTACAGCCCCTCTATATATTTGAAAACGGATGCGTACTAGTACTTTCTAATGCTTTTATTTCTGTGAAGGAGGCATCTGTACTTTTGCCACATGTAATGCGTAGGCGTGTGTTTGTGTGAACGGAGAGGGCTAACAGCCAACATCCTGTCATTACATCATCTCTTCTTGCCGAATGTGGGTAATTCGTTAATTGTGCATTGCATCATGTCAGGCCTACATTTACGAGCTGTTAAGCAGACACTAATGATACTTCTGTAATTTGAAGCACATACTTTAGCAATCCGGGAAGAAAGGTTCTGCGTTGTGACAAGCAAGCGGGGAAATGGCAAGTTAATTTCTTTTTTTTTTAATCGTCCTTTTAATAGGCACTGGGTTTTTGCAGCTTGTATCAGTGCCGCCACATAGCGACGGTGCCCTTTGAGGACACACAAGACTTACAGCTTTTCTTAGACAGGTTTCAAGGAACGAGATGCCTTGCCAAGAATGAGGCCCGACGGTGGCCAACTTGATGTATGACCCGCTCAGTAAACTACAGCAGCATACAGGACTAACAAAAAGACCTTGAATTGGCGACTTGATTCCGCCACCTCTTACCTCATTCCCCCCATTTAAAAACCCTCCTGTTGCCTAAATTGCTTATGTGTGAATTCTGAACCCAAAAATTGACTGGTGGCCTTTCTGCTGACTCACAAGCTGGCACCGTGTTTCTACAAAGCAGTATGCAAATGAGGTGTCACATGATCAAATTGGCCCTGGAGCGGGAGTTCTCGCCCTTTCGCTGACTCAACAGTATCACTGTAGCGTGCAATAATCCCTTTTACAGCCTGGCCTGATTGGGAGGCCGCTGATTGGGCCGCGGTGTTGTGGCCTGAGCATCATATGATGTGACACAAACATTAACATAATGCAAAACACGTTCATAATTTTGCAACATTTCGAGTCATGCATGTTTTGGGAGGAAACAGGGGGAAAAAAAACAACAACATATGAGCACAGGGAGATGATGCAAACGCACACGGGAAGTCCAGAGTCGAGATTCGGAACCAGAACCTCAGAACTGTGAGGCAGGCAAGTACAGTAGTGCGAACCAATATCCTGCACTGCAAACCCTAACCAATTTTCACAGAGCACAAAATATTTCGTTTTTGCTAAAATGCTGATGAACCACTAAAACAGATTTACAGAAGGTCCTTGTTATCGATTACAGAAGTATTAAATCTGCAAAGTAGTAAACATGTGTTTATTTAATTACTTATAGATTTGAAAACTTTGTGCACATCACGGATACAAAATATGCACATGAGGTGCGGGCATTATTTTTGTTTGGGTCGCCATCCTCATGTAGCACTGTCGTAGCATCTGTGACTCTGAAAAGCATGTGACTTTAAAAGTCCTCGATATGGCAAAAGATGACTCTAACTCCTATTTCCACCTGTTTTAGTTCACATTTCAATAACAGGTGAGAGAAGGAACAAATACAAATGGCTCGCCATACTTCTTTTGTGTTGTTTTTGTTTTCTTATTTAGACGTAATTAGGAAAAGGAAGCGCATGCAAATTCTACAGGGAGCCGAGATGTTACAAAAGATGTAATCCACAAATCGAAAATATAATGGTCATATTTTTCCCGACACACGCCACATTCGACTTCCCAACACTCGATGTCCACACTGGCATCTTCTAACATGCTTTTATTACCCAACTCCATGTTTTGTCAGTGGGATAGTGTTCAACGGCCTCTTCCAGCTCTTCACCCTCCTCTGCCGATGTCATGATTCCACCATCGTACTGTATGTATCCACAAATGCGTTTAAGTCCGGTGATCTTCACTCCGTGATGGCCTCAATGAGTCTGAGATCCAAAACTGCAAGTGCGACCGACTAAATTTACCTGGGGCCCTCAAGTCAGGGAAACCTGAGACCGGCCCCCGCTTATACTGAATCAGACCCGTTGACTTCTTCGGCATTTCAGAAGACGACACTTGCTCGGGTGGCTTCTCAGAATGTTTGATTTGGAGATGTACACAAACACGGAAGAGTCATGTAGATCTTCCTGGACCACTGTTCCGTTTTCTTGGGGACACCTGTTGTTGTCTCAGGGGCCGTGTCGTTGACCGCGGCCGCAATGTCATTGACGTCCAACATGAGATTAGATTACCGCCGGCTGAGGTTCAAGACTGCCGGGGTGCCCACTGTGATTACTGTTACACTCTAGTCACGATTTAACCTTTAACCTTTTGGGATGTACTTGACTGGCCAGCTGGCAACTTTTTTCCACCAGTGGTGATTAACACTGACTCCAAGTGGTTCAAAGACGTCATTGCATGTGAGAGTGTAAGTTCCCCCCATACTTGTTTAAACATTTTTAATCATTGTTCCAGCGTAATATTTTGCCCTCAAAACAAAATATGTGTGAAAAATGACTACCGTTACAAATATTTAAATCCACCTAGTTCAAGACATGTTTTTTTTTGTTTAAAAAGTAAATGAGATTGTCAACAAATTTGTTCAAACTTCATCCATCCATTTCCAACACCGCTTATCCTGAACAGGGTCAAGGGGAGTTGCTGGAGCCTATCCCAGCTGGTCACCAGGCAGTCACAGGGAACATATAGAGACAAACAACCACGCACACCCACATGCACACTGAGTAGGAACCAATCCCAAGATACCCGCACACAAGTCCGTCGGGTGTACCGCTACACCAGCAGCGATGTTTAAACTATGCTGTTTTCCCTTGATTTTTACCATTTAAAAAAGATATAAAATCGTGAAATGGACACCTAAAATACAAACTTTATTTTGAAATAAGTCGCAGAAAGGCAAGCAAGTAGATTTCCCTCCATCCATCCTTCTATTTTCTAATATGCCCATGCTCACAAGGGTCGAGGGCATGCTGGAGCATATCCCGCTTTCTTTGGGCAATAGGAGGGGTACACCCTGAACTGGTTGCCAGCCAATCGCAGAGCAGACATAGACACTCTCAATCACACCTCGGGACAATTTGGAGAGTTCTATTAACCCGCCATGCATGTTTTTGGAATGTGGGAGGAAACCGGAGTGCCCGGAGAAAACCCACGCAGGCCCGGGGAGAACATGCAAACTCCAAACAGGAATGGAGCTCTGCAACTCTGCCATCGAAAGCGGACGTGCTACGAGTAGAGTTGCGTTTATAAAAAGATGCCAAACTTCAGCCATTCTGTCTTTTATGCACTCGTTCCTAGCTCGTGCTTATTGCTACGTGGGTCTGCAGTAACATTTGCGTGAAAATCTGCGATACAAAATTAGACACGCACGATTTTAAATCTGTGATACAGTGAGACCACAAACATTGAACCGCAGTGTCGTGAGGGACGACTGTAACGCGTGAATGTTTATGGCCCCTCCGAAATTAGTAAACTCTTTTGTGACTACTGTATTGCATTTAAATACAATACATCTTATTTATATAGCGCTTTCAACACAGCTGCAACTCTAACAAAGCGATTTCCAGGACATTTATCGGAAAATAACAATACAACGGAACACATAACATAAAAGAGTAATACAATCGAAACAACTACTTGAAACGTCCGCCTTATTGTTCGAAGCGGTTACCCTATGATTGCCGATTAATTCAGACGGAGCCACGTTTTTATCCACATGTTATTCATCTGAAAATAATTATTTGCTGTGACCGTATTTATTTAAAAAAAGTTCTCTGTATGACAGCGGCGATTTCTCCGCGAGTGTCCGCCTTTCCAAGTGTAAGTGAAAGCCCCTCACACCTATCGTTGCGTTCAGTGTTGTCTGTCCTCCTTGGCTTCGCTTTTGTGTCAGGATGCTGCTTGTGATGTTTAAATGTCCTTTCGTCATTTCTGGTTAAACGTGCACGGCATTTGGTGGCTTTAATGTTCCGTGCGGCTAACCGAAAAAGCATCGGCAAAGCGGGGAACGGCTGGTAGGTCATTCGGTTGAGTGGGGTGGGGGGGAAAGAAAAAAAGAGAAAAAAAGAAAAGAAATTGTTGCTGTCTGACGCTGAAAGCAGCAGCCGGCTATAGCTAACAGTGCTATCCGGTTAGCATCGTAGCTTCGTCGTTGTCGCGTGTGTTTTGCTTCTTGTCAAAAGACAACAAATGAACGTAAGTGGCATTGGACGAGTGCGATTAGAGCTTAGTTGCGTTTTTAAATGGCAGTCAAGAGTTACAAATGAGCAACTAGTAACTACGAGTGTTATTAGCATCCAAAGCTAATAAGCCAAGTTGATTTTATGGCTGCAAAAACAAAACGCGACAAAACTAGAAGTGGCCTTATAAGCAGAGTTTTTGTCGTAAGTATGTGACACTCTTGTTTTAGTGACAGTTCTCGGGGAAATTACTTGCTCAGATCATTTGAGTTACAAAGCCAACTCTAGGAGTAGCGTTCATTTGTCATGATTTTGAGATAATGTCATCAAATTGCTAAATGTGTGTCGTGACAGTCAACTTCCCAAATGGGGACAGTTGTATGTGGGTTCTTGAGCGACTGGCCTCTTGAAAATGGTCCCGTTCGATTGTCAAAACAAGCAGTCCAAATAGAACACGTCCTGTAAAGGCATTCGCTGCAGGAGAATTACATTTTCGCCCTTGTCCGTCCTGTCAACATACGAAATTCCAGTCGATCTTTGAATTACACTGTCAAAAAATGCACTGTAACAGCGTACATATCGATTTAATATGACAACACAAACAAATAAAATACACGATCCTCATTTAGTAGAAATGCTGATTATGAAATGTATTTTACGTGTCTGCATATTACTGTAGCTGTGGTCTGTTTAAGAGTCCAAGTTGGTTGTAACGAGATTTGCTCTGGCTAGCCAATCGGAAAAAACAAAGCCCAGCGAGTAGTAGAAGAAGAAATTGAAGCCCAATTGGCTTACTGTTAGATTTCCTGGTAACTACATTGTTGTTGCCATTGTCATTTTTATTGGATTGAAGGATTTGGCAGACATGTGTTGGAACACTCAAAACAACCATTTGCTCCTCTATTTGCGTCAGCCAACAGCATGAGCTTGCAGGGACTTCCCAGTTGCCTTAATACCACTTCACAACACAATCATGGTGTTTGTCGCTTGGCCCAACTCACAATTGGATTCACCATTGTACACATTGAACTGGTTGAACTTTTTAAATTGACAGCCCTGACTCTTCTCCCATTCACGAAAAAAAAATCCGTTCTGACACTTCCCACAGCATGGGACAATCAGTCAGGATTAGTGTTGTAGCAATTATACAAATCTGACATGAACAAAGTTGAAGCAAATCTTTTCTTCGAAGCTTCGCAGGGATCGTTTTTCCCCCAAGGACTAATGTTACTGTAGTCGCACAGACCACCGCGTGTATAAATAAATTGGTGTCACGGGGAGACAGGAGAAAGTCAGCGAAAAACAATGTGAAAATTTGGGATCACTTCACTCAAATTAGGCCTGATTGACGGTAAACGTGTACCCCGCTTAAAACACAATTGTCTTCCTTTCAGGCACTTTCGCCGGACAATGGACGAGCTGGTCCATGATCTGGTGTCAGCCCTGGAGGAGAGCTCGGAGCAGGCGGCGCGCGGCGGCTTCGGTGACGGCGGAGAACACGCTTTGAACGTGGGCTGCCTGCTGAAGAGACAGGCCCGGAAGCGCCGGGGACGCAAACGGCGCTCCGACAACCCTCACCCGCCCTGGGAGACGGCCCACCTGAGCGAGGGCTCCGAGTCCAGCGTCGAAGAGCACAAGGTGAGTCCACTCTGCAACACGATTGCAATATTTCATGATTGACTGAAGAGAAATGAACAACAGCTCATATGCTGACATAAACCGATGCCATTGTTGTACTTGTAAAAAAAATTTAATTTGAATACAAATTGTCTTCTGTCACATAATTCCTCCCGAAGTAGTGATTGCATAATTTTTGCCAAGTGTTGTACAATTTGTGAAGTGAATATTTTGGACTGTCTCAAACTGAGGTGAGTTAGCCATTTGCCTGTGTGCATTCGGGCCAAGTGACCCGTGGAAAAATGGCTTTTTCTGTATGGAATTTAGCACCTCCACCATTACCGCCACCTAGAGGACTAGAGTGGAACAGGATTTTTCAATTACACAAGTCAAGCACAATGATGGATGAGCCTTGGCTGTGGTCTCCTTAAACTTTTTTTTTATTTATTTTTTGCACAGGACTACCGTGCTGGCACAGGAATTGTGTCCACCGCAAACAACCACACTCGCGACAACAGTGACTCGGACGAGCAGCTGGGCCCCAAACGCCGCACGCCGCAGACATCCGACGTGGGTAGGAGCAAGCGGCCTCTTTGGCCGGACGACCCGGGCGTGCTAGGGTCCGCCGAGGGAACCCGCAGCCTCAGGCGACGACGCAAGGTCAAGCGCATGGCTGTGGATCCCCCAGCCGAACCGGACCTCCCCTCCGCAGTGATGCCGGCCCCACCGTCCGTCCCCAAGGCTCGCGCGGCGGGCGCCGGGCCCAGCCGGCCGAGCCCCGGCGAGGGCC